AACTGTGTATTTTAATAATGAAATGGAGATCTTTTTTAAAGGTTAAAACTTCATTCAATTTTATGTCTTATAGGGTTTATACTGATTACAATGTTGTATAACTGTATTAATTCAAAGTGAACCTTAAAATTTTATAGCCAATTTTGAAAGAGATGTATCTTTGCTCCGGAAACTGTAAATGAGTATGTTCAAGCTGTACTGAAATGCTTCTTCTAAAAACAAAAATAAATAAATATTATTTTTTAAACCAAAAAATTCATATTACCATGTGTGGTTTTTAATATGTACAGATATAAAAAAAGTAAATCATCAATATAGCCATCTGGCCATTTCATCTCCATCCCTAGACAATTATGTATACACTAGTCAGCCACGATTTTTTTTATATATGGATGGAAAAAGCAGTCATTTATACTTAAAGTTGCCTTGTTTTGATATGTATTTACTGACTGAGTTGGTTAATATGCCTATGCCTTTATAACTAAGAAGTAAAAAGAGAAGCAATTTAATAGTTATTAGAAACTAATGTTTGAGAAGTTTTCTGAATCTAGATGCATGATTTGTAAGTTCATTACAAAAAAAAGTGATTTTTATTTAAATTATTTTTATTTTTTTTATTTTATTTTATGTGTATGAGTGTACTGCCTGCATGTAAGTGCACCTGTGTCATGCAGTGCCCTTGGACCTCAGGAGAGGGCAGTGGATCTCTTGGAACTAGTGCTATGGACGGCTGTTGGCTGCCATGAGGGTGCTGTGATTTGAACCTGGGTCCTCTGCAAGAGCACCCAAGTGCTCTTTTTTTTTAAAATATTTTATTATTTTTATTTTATATGTATGTGTGTATTGCCAAGTGTAGGTAAGTGCACCTGTGTTGTGCAATACCCATGGAAGACAGAAGAGGCTGTCCTGGAACTGGAGTTAAGCACAGTTGTTAGCTGCCATGTGGGTGCTGGGATTCGAACCTGGGTCTTCTGCAAGAACAACCAGTGTTCTTAACCGCTGAGCCATCTCTCCAGCCCCAAAAGTGCTCTTCACTGCTGAGCCATCTTTTCAGTCCCTAAATTCTTTTTACATTTTTTAAAATTTATTTATTATTATTTTATGTGTATGAGTATTATGCCTGAATGTGTATGCCCCTATGATGCAGTGCCTGTGAAGGACAGAAGAGGGCACTGGAGCCCCTGAGACTAAAGTTATGAATGGTTGTTAGCCACCGTGTGGCTGCTGGGATTTGAACCTGGATCTTCTGCAAGAACAGCCAGGGCTCTTAACCACTGAGCCATCTCTCTAGTCCCTAAATCAATTTTTGTTTTCTTTTTTTGAGACAGGGTCTCCCTGTAGCCCAAGCTGGCCTGGGACTCATAGAGATCCATCTGCTTCTGCCTCCCAAGTGCTAGAATTAAAGGTGTGTACCACCATGCCCAGTCAATAAATTTTTTTTTAATTTATTTACTTTTTTCCTTTTTATAATATTTATTTTTTAGAAGAAGCATTTCATTACAGCTTTAACATAATCAATAACAATTTCTAGAGCAAAGATACAACTTTTTCAAAAGTGGCTATAAAATTTTTAGATTCACAGTTGAATTAATAGTTATACAATATTGAGCTCAGTATAAACCCTGTAAGACATAAAACTGAATGGTTTTTTTTTGGTCTTTTAGAGACAGGGCCTCCCTGTAGCCCCAGCTGGCCTAGAACTCACGAAGTAGACCAGGCTGGCCTTGAACTCACAGAGATCCACCTGCCTCTGCCTCCTGAATGCTGGGATTAAAGGCATGTACCACCACGCCCAGCTCTGAATGAGTTTTTAACCTTTAAAAAAGATCTCCATTTCATTTTAAAATATACTGTTTTTACAGAAATACTTCATTGTTTTTGCTAATAACACTTAGATGTTGGTGCATGTGTCTCTAATCTGTATGTATCTGCTAATTTATTTTTTCTTTTTGAGACAGGGTCTACCTGTAGCCCCAGCTGGCCTGGAACTTGCTATGTAGACCAGGCTGACCTTGAACTCCTGCTTCTGCCTCCCAAGTGCTAGAATTAAAGGCATGCACCACCATGCCTGGCCTATAAACTCTTGTTTTTTTAATATTTTATTTTTATTTTATGTGTATGAGTGTTATGCCTGCATGTAGGTAAGTGCACCCATGTCATTCAATGCCTGCAGAAAACAGAAGAGGCTGTCGGATCCCCTAGAACTGGAGTTACAGACTGTTGTTAGCTGCCATGTGGGTGCTGGAATTCTAACCCGGTTCTTCTGCAAGAACAGTCTGTTCTTAACCGCTGAGTCATCTCTCCAGGCCCCATAAATTCTTTTAAATTTATTTTTATTTATTAATTTTTGTCTTATTGAGGCAGGGTCTCCCCGTAGCCCCAGCTGGCCTCAAACCTTTGCTTCCCAAGTGCTGGGACTAAAGGCATGTTCCACACCTGCCTAATTATTTAAAAGGAAAAAAAAAAAAAAGAATTTATAATCAGTCTGTCAAGATGGTTCAGCAGGTAAAGACACCTGCCACCAAGCCTGATGACCTGAGTTTTACCCAAGACCCACAAGGTGGAAGTAGAGAACTAACTCCTCCAAGTACTCCTCTTGGCAACACACGTGCACTATAGCATAAGTGCTCACATATACACATGTGTATTAAAATATTTTTTAAATGTTTTATTATTTTTATTTTATGTGTATGAGCATATTGCCTGTATGTATGTGAGTGCACCATGTCGTGCAATGCTGAGGATGTCAGAAGAGGGCTTCAGATTCCCCTGGAGGGGAACTGGAGTTAAGGACGGTTTGTAGCCACCATGTGGGTGCTGGGAATTGAACCCAGGTCCTCTGCAAGAGCAGTCAGTGCTCTTAACTGCTGAGCCATCTCTCCAGCCCCAATTTTTAACAAAAAAAATTTTTTTAATTTTACGTGTGTGAGTATATTGCCTGCATGTAGGTAAGTGCACCCATGTTATGCAATGCTCATGGAGGACAGAAGAGGCCATCACATCCCCTGGAACTGGAGTTATGGATGGTTGTTAGCTGCCGTGTATGTGCTGAGATTTGATCCTGGGTCTTCTGTAAGAACAACCAGTGTCCTTAACTGCTAAGCCATCTCTCCAGCCCCAAATAAAGCAATTTTTAAAGAATGAACCCATAATGTAATAGACCTTATGCTGTCAGCTCTCAAGTAAAAAAAAAAAAAAAAATCATTTAGGGCCTGGAGAGATGGCCTAGCACTTAACAGCACTTGCTACTCTTACAGAAGACCTAAGTTCAGTTCTCAGCACCCACATGGCAGTTCACAAGTTCCAGGGGATCTGATATCTTCTTCTGGCCCCCTCAGGTACTGCCATACATATATGGAGGCAAAGCACTCATACAGATAAAATAAAAATAAATAAATCTTAAAAAAAAAAAAAAATGAATTTCATTTACTTCTCACTCAGTGTGGTTACATGGGCATTTACATACCTCTCTACACTCACAGATTACTTTGTAGAAAAATCAGAACTCAACCTTTCCAGTTTCAGAGTTCATTTTCATCCTACTACAATACTAGACTATACAGATTTCTACTGTATTATTCTCCAAGCCTCACTGTGGAAGACATTTAATTTCCCACAAGTAGTGCAAGAAAAGATGGTATTTATCTATCTACCTGAGTGTAGCCACTTCGCTTTGTCAGTTTCACTCTTGTTTGGTCCAGGCAGGGTACATCCCCATAGCGGTTTTTCTCTAGGTTCCCTGGAGACCTAAAAGGATAAAACAGACAAGTTAAAATAAAGAAAAGTGGGAGCTGGGCGTGGTGACAGGCACTTGACTCCTAGCACTTGGAAGGTGGAGGCAGGAAGATCAGAAAGTTAAGGTCATTCTCAGCTGCACAGACAATTTAAGGCTAGCCTGAACCAGACTCTGTTTCTAAAAATAAATAAAACATCTGAGGCTGTAGCTTAGTAGAAGAATAGCTCTTCCTTTGCATGCTTGAGGCCCTAAATTCAATCCCTAGTACTGTTAAAAATTTTTGTGGGGCATGGTGGCACACGTCTTTAATCCCAGCACTTGGGAGGCAGAGGCAGGCAGATCTTTGTGAGCTTGAGGCCAGCCTGGTCTACATAGTGAGTTCCAGGACAGCTGGGGCTACAGGGAGCCCCTGTCTCAAAAAGCCAAAAATAAAAAATTTTTTTTAAGGGCTAGAGAGATGGTTCAGTGAACAAGTGCACTGGCTTCTCTTACAAAAGACCCAGGTTTGATTTCCAGCATCCACATGGTAACTAACAACTGTCCATAACTCCAGTTTCAGGGGATCCAATGCCCTCTCTGACCTCTGTAGGCACTGTACAGAAGAGATGCACCTACCTACATTCAGGTAATACACTCATACACATAAAAAATAATAAATAGAATATATTTTTAAAAGTTTTTAAAAGAAGAGGAGGCATGGTTGTGCACGCCTTTAATCCCAGCACTTGGGAGGCAGAGGCAGGCGGGTCTTTGTGGGGTTAAAGCTGGGCTCGTCTTCATAGTGAGGTTCACGAAAACCGGGGGGACAAAGGGACCCCGTCTCCAAAAAAAAAAAAAAAAAAAAAAAATTTTTTTTTTTAAAGAAAAGCAAGGACAGAGTATTGTATATACAATCTGGCAGTGCAAAACTGGGTGTCAATTACTGTGGGTGCTGGGATTGTAGTTTTTCACTGTCTAGTTTATGCAGTTGCACATCATATAAAGTCTTTGTTTAGATGCTGTGTGTTTAACCCAGGGCTTTACATATGCTAAGCATATGCTCTACTACTGAACTACATTCTGAATCCTAATTCAACACTTTTTATAAGTATATATTATTTATAGAAATAAAGGTGATTTCTGGGACTTGAGAGATGGCTCAGCAGTTAAGGCACTCGCTGCTTTTGCAGAGGACCTGGGTTCAGTTCCCAACACCTAAATGATAGCTAACAACCATCTGAAATTCCAATTCCAGGGGATCTGAGGCCCTCTTCTGGCCTCCACAGGCACTGCAAACACAGGTGCACTTACACACAGGCAAAACATTCATACTCATAAAATAAAAATAAATTACTTAATTAGTTAAAGGTAATTGCCTTCAAAAAAAAGATCAAGACTTGAATGGTCAAAGACCAAAAAAAAAGTGGTTCTTTGAAGTGAGGTGCTTTACCAAATATCTAAAAATATAGAACCAGCTTTGGAACCGAGTAATGAATGGACAGAAGCTAGAAGAACTTGAAGGAATAAGCCAGACAAGCATGAATTAACATGAATAGAGAATTAAGGGTAATTCTACACAGGGTTCAGAAAAAAAGAAAGCTTTAAAAAAAAAAACTGTTGTGATAACATGGCACCGTTTTTTTAATATTTTATTTATTATTTTTATTTTTTATGTGTATGAGTGTATTGCCTGCATGTATGTGAGTGCACCCTTGTTGTGCAATGCTGCAGTGATAAGAAAAGGGCTTCAGATTCCCCTAGAAGTGGAGTTAAGGATGGTTCATAGCTGCCATGTGGGTGCTGGGAATGGAACCCAGGTCCTCTGCAAGAGCTGTCAGTGCCCTTAACCTCTAAGCCATCTCTCCAGCCTGGCACCATTATTTTTATTAGCTTTCAATCATCATCTGGAAAGAAAATGTTCTGAGTAACATCATTACAAACAGCTCTGATAATGCACAATCACTATTGCTCATCATAAAGCAGGTCCAAGATACTTTACATTCAAAGAAGCATGATACAGTACTGTCTTATATCTATAATACTAAAGGAAACAATTTAAAAGGCATTATTTGAGACTTCATTCAACTTTTCCAGCATAGGCCCAAAAGATGGTATGACACAGCACTGTAAAGAAATGCATTCTACAGCCGGGTGTGGCTATGCACACCTGTGGTCCCAGCACTTGGGAGGCAGAGGCAGGCAGATCTCTGTGGGTTCAAGGCCAGCCTGGTCTACATAGTGAGTTCCAGGACAGCTGGGGCTACAGGGAGATCCTGCTTCAAAAAGACCAAAAAAAAAAAAGAAAAGAAAAAGGAATGCATTCTTAGATAGGATTTACGTTCATTAGTGGCACAGTTCTAAGTAGAAGAAAGCTTTTCAGAAAGCTTCTATCATCTTAGAGATTTTTACCAAAAAGATTGTGATGACAATGTTGGTAGAAATATGGATGGAAAAAGTATTCTAATGAGGTCTTAGACAGAAATGTCAATTGTGTAACAAAGGGAGAGGTCAGTTATGGTGCTGCATGCCTGTAATTACAACACTTCAGAGACTGAAGCAGGACAATCACCACAAATTTCAGGTCTCTATACCACCCAGACTTGCAGAGTAAGGTACTGTCTTCAAAAAGAAGAAAAGAAAAAGAGAGGAGGAAGAAGAGGAGGAGGAGCAGGAGGAAGAAAGGGAAGAGGAAGAGGAGGAGGAAGATAAAGAAAAAGGGCTAGGGAGATGGCTTAGCAGGCAAAGTGCTTGCCATACAAACCTGATTATCCTGAGTCTGATCCCTAGAACCCACAAAAAGGTGAAAGAATCAACTACAAAATTGACATTTAACCTTCAAGTGTGCCATGGCGCGCGCGTGCACACACACACACACACACACACACACACACATCCACACAATAATAAATAAAATGATGAGGGACTGGAGAGATGGCTCAGTGGTTAAGAACACTGATTGTTCTTGCAGAAGACCTGGATTCGAATCGCAGCACCCACATGACAGCTAACCACTGTCCGTAACTCCAGTTCCAGGGGATCCAGCAGGTGATGAATTTGTTCTTTTTTTTTTTAAAGCTTGGTGTATTGTTGCAACATCAAGGTACAGGTATCAAGAATGCCAGTATGGAAACAAAGAACCAGATCACAAGAGTCTTACATTAGAGAGTTAAACAGCTCATTTTTAAAAAACATATTTTATTATTTTTATTTTATGCATATGAGTGTATTGCCTGCATTGATGTGAATGCACCCATGTCGTGCAATGCTGCGGAGGTCAGAAGAGGGCTTCGGATTCCCCTGGAACTGGAGTTAAGGATGGTTCGTAGCCACCATGTGGGTGCTGGGAATCGAACCCAGGTTCTCTGCAAGAGCAGTCAGTGATCTTAACCACTAAGCCATCTCTCCAGCCCCAAATAAAAAGTTCAGTTCTCAGCACCTAGGTCAGGCAGATCACCACTGCCTGTAACTCCCGCTCTAGAGACTCTCATACCCTCTTTGGCTTCCATGGAAACCAGTACACACAAGGCATACACACACATACATACATACATATAAATTAAAATCTTTTTAAAAAATAGGTAGGGCTACTGGGCATGCTGGTGCATGCCTTTAATCCCAGGAGGCAAAGGCAGATGCATCTCTTTCAGTTCAAGGCCAGCCTGGTCTACATAGTGAGTTCCAGGCTAGCAGGGCTACAGGGAGCCCCTGTCTCAAAGAAAAAAAAAAAAAAAAAAAAAGAAAGAAAAAGAATAAATAAATAAAATAAAAATAAGAAAATAGGTAGGGAAAGAGGAGAAACAATTAACATTTCTACTACTTACTAATCAAGAGCTATTCAAAATAAATCTAAGATACTAGGTTGGTAATTGACTTTACTACATCTAGCATCCTCACTAAAATGAGATAAACTATTCAGTACAAAGTCTAAATGTTAACAGTACATCAGCAAGGAGATTTCAATCTGTTTTGGTAAAAAGCAGGTGGGAGGATTTGGGTTGACCTGGCCCAATCCAGAAAGCTATGACCCCACAGAGTTACCTACACAGAAGAAAATGACTTACCCTCAAAATTCCCTCACCCTGGGAAGCAAGGTGAGATATAGCCTAAAAACAGGGGAATAAGCTGGGCGTGGTGGCACACACCTTTAATCCCAGCATTTGGGAGACAGAGGCAGGTGGCTCTCTGTGAGTTCGAGGCCAGCCTGGTTTACATAGTGAGTTCCTGGCCAGCTGGGGCTACAGGGAGACCCTGTCTCAAAAAGATAAATTAATTAATTAAATGGAATAAATGAAAATCCCCATGTTACATGATTAGAACCTATGCCACCCTATTCTATGTTCTATACTATCCTACATTTATTTGAAGGTTGCAATACCACCTGGCAAGAAATTGGGGAACTCTTCTCTGGCCAAAATGAATAGCCACTGGTAAAGTAATTCTTTCAAGTTAGACACAGTGACACAACTATAATCCCAGCACTAGTATTCTACCACTGAACTACACATACTCTCAATCTTGGATATTAGTTTTAACTTGTAAGAGCATATCCATTTAATTAATTAAATGTAATTATAGGAAAAAGCCTGGGCTAAGGAAATGACTCAGTGGGCAAAATATTTTCCACATAAGCATGAGAACCTGAGTTCAAATCCTCAGTAGCTGGGTAAAAGTTGGGGCACAGCAGCAAGTGTCTGTAATCCCAGTGTTCCTATGAAGAATCCCAAAAGCTCAAAGACCAGCTAGCTTGGCATACTCCATGAACAACAAAACAGAGAATCTGACCTCAAAGAGGGTGGAAAGCAATGACCAATACCCAAGGTTATTTTCTGATCACACACATTGTATGACAAGTGTGCATCTGCAGTCACACAGGACACACATGCACACACAAACGTGCACACACAAATAAATAAATAAATAAATAAATAAATAATCTGAACACTAAGCTAAATCTTAGAATGTTTGGCTAAGATGCACAAGGTGTGCGCACACGCACGTGTGCACACACACACACACACACACAAAACTAGAA